ATTGATCCCTATCTGTAAGGTAAAAGAAAAAATAATCCTTTACACTACCTTCTACTCAGACTATAGCTCCAGTTCTCTCCTTTTCAGACACCTTTATAAGAAAAGTGATCTACAGTTGCTTTGCCTTCCTCTTCTCCAGCTCAATTTATAACCTACTGTAACCTGGCCTCTGGACCAAGTATCTTGTGTAAAGATAACAACTTTCCTCTTTGAGTTTTTAAAGATGAGAAAATTTACAGAAGAGAAAATACACTGATTAGCATGTCAATGCAAGATAAAGGAGGTAATTAAGATTGGCACATAAATACACTGGTGCTACTCTCTTGGCCATCTGTTCTTTATGCCTGCTCAGAATCCAATCCTGCTTCGGTAATACCACCCTGATTTTCTTCGAGAAACTTCTGACAGCCTCATGGTTAACCGGGAGATAGTGTAATCCAGGTCTGGCCAATGAGATACAGCGTGGCTCCAGTGATTGCTTAACAGAACAATCACATGACTCAAGTCAGACCAATTAAATCAATGCAGAGATTTTGCCACAACTCTTGGGACATTCTCTTTCATGTTGGTGTATGAAACCTAAGTTTAGCGATGCTGGTGATCAATTTGTTACAAAAACAGAAGGTAGGAAAGTCAAGAGACAAAAAATGTCTAGTGACATCATTTTAACCAAAGGAGTTGGTCTTGCCCAGGAGATCTACCTATAGCATCTTATAGCTTTGTTACATACTTTTTACCTTTTGTTTTGGTTGTTAAAGCCAGTCAGACTTTGGTTTCCAGCTATCATTTGTACTGAAAGAACTGTACGAACAGAGATATCATCCAGTGTTGAGCAATAGACACTCTAGTGGGATTATTAACTATTTTTTTTTAAGTTTTTAATCTTACAAAATGTAAAACTTTTGCGTCTAAAAATTAGAGAAAATTTTAAAAAAAAGCAATTCAAAGGCCAAATGTCCGTTTTACTTCGCTGTCTACTAACAATCACTGCCTCATTATATAATTTTATTTTATATGAATTTCATCTCAATAAAAAAGGGAAAAAGCTTATCCTAACTTTCCAATCCATGATTTACATAATTCAAATAAGTTTTTCAGGAAATAATACACACTGGAGACTCAGAAAGGTGAAAGGGTGGGAAAGAGATGAGGGATGAGAAATTACTTAATGGACACAAGGTGTACTATTCAGGTGATGGTTACACGAAAAGCCCCAACTTCACCACTACTTCACTACTGCATGTAACAAAATTGCACTGTAGCCCCTAAATCTATTTAAAAAAAAAAAAAAGCTTTTCAAAGATCATGTCTAAAAGCCTCTAATATAGTTTGGTTGTGTCCCCATCCAAATCTCATCTTGAATTCCCACGTGTTGTGGGAGGGACCTGGTGGGAGGTAATCACGGGGGCAGGTCTTTCCCGTGCTGTTCTTGTCTCATGAGAAGTGATGGTTTTATAAGGCAGAGTTTCCCTGCACAAGCTCTCTCTTTACCTGCCACCATCCGCATAAGATGTGACTTGCTCCTCCTTGCCTTCCGCCATGATTGTGAGGCCTCCCCAACCACGTGGAACTGTAAGTCCATTCATTAAACCTCTTTCTTTTGTAAATTGCCAAGTCTCAGATATGTCTTTATCAGCAGAGTGAAAACAAAATAATACAGCCATTTTTTTTTTTTTTTTTTTTTTTTTTTTTTTTTTTTTTTTTTTTTTGAGACGGAGATCTGCTCTGTCGCCCGGGCTGGAGTGCAGTGGCGGGATCTCAGCTCACTGCAAGCTCCGCCTCCCGGTTTACCTCATTCTCCTGCCTCAGCCTCCCAGTGTGGCGGGGACCACAGTGCCCACGACCTTAGCCCGGCTAGTTTTTGTGTTTTTGTTAGAGACGGGTTTCACGTGTTAGCCAGGATGGTCTCGATCTCCTGACCTCGTGATCCGCCCATCTGGCCTCCTTTTTTGTGTTTTTAGTAGAGACGGGGTTTCACCGTGTTAGCCAGGATGGTCTCGATCTCCTGACCTCGTGATCCGCCCATCTCGGCCTCCCAAAGTGCTGGGATTACAGGCTTGAGCCACCGCGCCCGGCCTTTTTTTTTTTTTGAGACAGAGTCTTGCTGTGTTGCCCAGGCTGGAGTGCAGTGGCGCAATCTAGGCTCACTGTAAGCTCCACTTCCCAGGTTCACACCATTCTCCTGCCTCAGCCTCCCAAGTAGCTGGGACTACAGGCACCCGCCACCACACCCAGCTAAATTTTTTTTGTATTTTTAGTAGAGATGGGGTTTCACCACGTTAGCCAGGATGGTCTTGATCTTCTGACCTCGTGATCTGCCCGCCTCAGCCTCCCAAAATGCTGAGATTACAGGCTTGAGCCACCGCACCCGGCCATACAGTCATTTTTTATATCATCATACAGCCTGTTTTTTTCCTCTGTATTCGCTTACAGCTTCCAGATCTCTCATTGCTAAAGTTAGGTAACATCCTAATGTCCAATCTCTGGGGTAAACATTTTTAAGTGAGTCAACATGTGGGCAGTTAAGAGCAGCAGCAGTTTTTAGCAGACCTAATATTTCCTGGCAATCAATTCCTGCATGTCCTTAGTCATTCTCTGGCCATTATTTATATCCTCACTTGTCTTCATCCTTCTGAATTAAAGTGCCCTAAACAGAACACTCTCTTATATCATGTGGTGATCACTGCCTTCTTTCTCGGAGCACACAGCTCTGGAATAATTTATTTTATCACTTTCTGGCAAAGAGTTCACAGGCCTCTTCTGAGTGAGAGCAACATAGTGAGTCAAGGGCAGCGGTCTAAGAAGCCTCTGACTTGATGAATATCTAGACAGTCTTGTACTAAAACTTCCTCCCATATATTCACTTTGATTAATAGCAAATGGGTCCACATTTCAATCTGGAAATGTCCTGATCTCAAGGAATGTTGAGGCTGACCCTAGGTGAGACAAATACCTTTCCAGACCTGGAGGTCCATATCATCAAGATCTGGCTTCGAGAAATCAATGAGCTGTTTATACCACTGCATTCAGATCATCTTCAAATGCCCCACCAGTGTCAGGCTAGAAAACTCCACACTTAGCATATATCTTTTTAATACTTTTTGTGAAGAAAAATCAGTCTTTCACCTTCAAGTTGTCTAACTCATGATACCCTGGTCATGGCCATCAAGCCTTACAAATTTAGCCCAGAAGTCATGGTAAATTGGAGCCAAGTTTTGACACAATAAACTGTCTTCTAATCCAATATGTCATCATATTAGAAGGCTGAAGTGATTAAAAAGGAGAGGAAAATTTTCCATTTTTCTATGGAATATGCTTTTTCTGGCCTCTAATACCCTGAACCTAGATGAATGGTGAGAGAATAAAAATTACAATATCACAGTCTGCTTTTAATTCTATTTCACTGCTACTGTCCATTTATGCAAGTCTTTGTCATTTCTTCCTTTAAACCCAAATGGCACCTCCATCAGGTAAAGACCCCACCATCTATCAATGTGCTTACCATTTGTTTTCTTCATGTTATACAGTTTCTAGAATAGTTTTCCCATATTGCACTTTGATGAATATTTGTATTCCAAGGAAATGATAACAAATCTCCCATAAAACATGTCCTATATTCTAGTGTGTTTGGGAAACATTGCATACCATCAATGTCCTCCAAAGTCACCATGGTTATTAGTACATTAGCAGGTGGGAGAAGTCTTATAATAGAGAAACGTGCTTGACTCTGTGTTTCTTAAACTCATTTTCACCACAAAATACTTGCATGGGCTATGTGTGCATGTATCTCACTGAATAACATCTCTGGAACATAAATGTCTGGAATGCTGTTCTGAAATAAATAAGCGACACATGCTGATTCTATTTTCTCACTCATATTACTGTATTAAATTTGCAATCTCAGAGTACAACAGCAATCTCCAAAAAGTAAAACCAGTTATTGATTTTGGTTTCCTCCAATTATTATTTGATTTGACTTTTTTGAAGTAGCCTGTACATCAACAACGTGTACATTCTTCAAATTCCCCACTTCGATTTCATAATTGTTGTCATTATTATCAACTATTTATCTTATTTTTTAAATACTCATAATGTCCAGTGTCCCGACTTCTTAGCCTGGCATTGCAGATCCAGCTGTGTTTTTTATCCATGTCTCTTTCTAAGCATATCCACAAATCTTTATCATCGGTCCGGACCAAGCCACTCACCATCCCACCAAAATATCTGATGCTTTTTCATCTCAGTGCATGTATTCATCCTGTTTTTGTTAACAAGGTTGCTGTTCCCTTCCTCTGCTGCTTAATCTTACTCATCTGGAATACTGACGATCTTTCCTGACCCAGGCTTCTCTCATCATTTTTGTAGTTTTTTTAATCAATGTTTTTCTCTTTTAGACTGTAAATTTCATAAGGGTAATGGCTACACATGTGTTCCTAAATACTAAATATCCATCTTAGTTCAGTGCATGACAAGTAATCTGTAGATGTTCCATAAAGAGATGTTGGATTGAATCTAAATCTTTGAATTCTACAGTCCGTGTTTCTCATTGCCTTCTCTCATTTTGCATTAGTGTCCACTGCTTTGTCTTGGTAGTTGCCATTTTGGATTGTGTACTGCATTAATCATCTTAAATATACCACACTCTATAACCCTAGAGTTTGGGAATTACGTGCATTTGTATACCTTTAGCAACTAGGATAGTGGCTGGTATGTAATAAGTACTAAATGAACCTTGATAGGTTGACTAGTTAATTCAGGGGACAGTGTAAGTCTCTTGACCCTCGTCAAGTTTTCCTTTGCCATGGCCCATATTAAGCTTCTCTCTCATTCCTTTCTAGCAGTTACTGTCCCTCCAGCTCATAATTGAAGTTGTTTCATACGTGTGTCAAGTTTCTTCTATTGAGCTTGTGAACTCTTGAAGGGTGAAAATCTGTGTTTAATGTTTTTTGTTGTCCAAATAGGTAAGGGCATAATAGAAATTAAGTTTAAATGGAAAGAAGTTGAGCTGGTCATACTACATTTCACTTTATTATTAACATTTATCATACATGGTTACTATTCCAATCTTTTATGCAGACAAAAATAAATGATATAAAATACATAATGCACTTTGATAATTTTAACCATACATAAAATATGGAGTAATGGAAGCTATGTTACATGGATATTTTACAAAGGAAAAACGATGACTTTTATAATAACACATCCAGATGAAATTTATCATTAAATTTTGGATTTCATATGATGTTAAATATGGACATATTCAAAACAATTATTATTTATAGAACCAATTTGATATTTTGTCATTTAAAATAATGAATACTATGTAAATGAGTACTTATAAAAATATTTTTAGGCAAAAAGCTCTGTTCTACTCATTTACTTGGCAGTTACAAAAATATATGTTCATCTGAAACTCTAATATATTTACTTGAAGCATTAGATATTCAAATTCAGATGTATATTTTCTAAAGCATTTTACCAATTTAGTGTTCTTGGCTACACACAGTGTATTTGTACACATGATATTAGGTTTGTGTTACAAATAATGCCATTTTAAGCAAAAGACACAGATAAACTATAACACACAGACCACCATGAAGGTTTTCAAATCAAACATATCCACACATATACCAGCCCCAACGATTGTGCCTTGCACTTAGTGAATCCTCAAAAACATTTGTCGAATGAATACTTGATCAGATAGCATTTATCCTGTTATTTGCACCTAAAATTAACTCTCCAAAGCTATTTCTAGTAGAAATATAATTTTAAAATTTAACAATTTTGTTCTTAATTAGCTATTTCTCAATGGCAGAGCCAGGCCAGTTGATTCCAGATTGGAGAGCAAAGTAGTGTCAGTGATCAAAAGACCAGGTATATTTACGCATGGTTGGACAGCTCTGATGCCTACAGTAAGACATTCATTCAATACATTGAACAACTCGATTTGTCGTACATTCATACAAAACACTCTTATTAATTTTTATAACATTATCACAAAACTAGTAAGTATAACAATATATATAGGCATATACATACACATATATATCTCATTTAGTAGACTTAGTAGACTTCAGATATCTCTTCTCAGTGAGAGGAGCAAGCTATCCTGAGTGAAGCAGGCCTTGTGTCTATATAACAATTGCTCAATGATGCACAGACCACACTTTAACAGTCTTCCATGTATGACCAGCAGATGGTTGGCAATATGAATGCTGGCAACACTGTTAATGCCAAGCCTTTGAAGCAGTAACATTTTTGTGAAACCAAAGACTAACTGTAATGACTAGTATGGAGTTGTAGCACCTAGCAAGATAATGGTCAATATTTGTTCAATGGAATATCCTGGGGCCATTTTTGGTATAGACCCCTCTTGCAATTTTCCCCCACCTGTTCTGCTTCATGCAGGGTGAAACTTTGCTGAGGTTCATCACTAAAAGTTCAAACATTTGACAGAAGACAGATTATTTTTCTCAATCAAAATTCAGATCACTTTAAGTCATTTCAAAGCTTGGCTCTAGTACTTAAGCAAGACAACCGACAATTCATTTAGCAAATTGGTTAGTATGTATATGTGTTAATGAAATTACTACTATGAGAGAGTTCTTAAGTGATAATTTAGTAAGATAATTCACATAACAATGTCTTTAAAAATTAAACATAGTTTCCAAAAATTCACAAGCTATTTAGTCAAATATTAAATGTTAGTTTCAATACCACTAGCATATAAAGTCTAAAAATGACCTTTAAAGTAAAATGTAAAGTAAAAATGACCTTAAAGTGAGACTATTCATTTTAAATTTCAGTATTATGACTTTTCAAAAGTATAAATGAATAAAAATATACCCACTGCTCTGCATTAAATCATGCTACACAGGAAAAGATCTACTTGAACTAACATAATAATACTTTAGTATTTTAAATGCAAAGGTATTAGTTTCAAAACACAGAGTCATTTACTCTCAATTGAACACTTCCAAATCAATAAATACTAATTTTGTCTATAAAATGTACAAGCCCAAAGGACTGAAGATAGTTTGTTTTGTTAAATTAATTAACATGACCCTTAAACTTTGTTTACCCATTCATTTTCTTGGCTATCAAAGTTAGCGTCAAGGTCAATTTCATTTCATTCTGAATATAATGATCCCAAAATTTAAATTAATAGATTCAGAACCAATGTCATTTCAATGTCATATATGTTATAGTATCATAGAAAGTTTACCTAATTTTAATTTGATTTAAAATTTGCTGCAAAAAGGGTGGCCAATGAATGCACAGTGAATCCAAGCCACCAGAAGAATGTGTTTTAAAGAGATAGAAAACAGTATGAGACTTCAGATTTGTGAATTGATAAAATAAAGCTTATACTATAAATTCAATATTATATATCCAATATAAGTAAAACTAGCACAGAAATTCTCTGCCCCTTTTCTCTCTTTAAATAGGAATGGAAATACATGTAAAATTCTAATTTTTTCAAATTTTTCATACTTTAATATCACATTAACTTTTGTAATATTTAGAATTAATATTAGAAAAAATTATAGGCGATAATAGAATGCTTAAGATGTATTGACTAAGAATTTTTAGTTCACAATTATTTTTGAGTCAGGCAGGCCCTAAGTTAAGATCCAAAATTTCTATGCATGACCTTCCCTTTTAGGTTGGGGGGATGGGGGTTGTCCATGCTCAGAACTTGGAAGAAGTTAGCAGGTTTTAGCAGTATTTCAAGGTGCACTGGTTACAGAGGAGCATGTAGCATTAAGGTAAACACATCCTAAAACCTCAAGGCTTCTTCATACCCAATGTCACATGGAGATACATATGGCATTGAAAAAATTGTCATTCTTCATTCATCCATTAGGTTTTTTTTTTTTACTGTTACCACTGTGTTGGAATTATAATAAAGTATTATGTGATATACTATCTAAAACTGTTATTTTTGATGAGGAGGAATATGATACAAAATGGTTTTCAGATTGCAACAGTGTTGAGTTACCTCAAAATGTGCATCCAGAGTTGTAAAATGTCCAGGAAATCCTATAATTTTCATATAATTAAAGCATTTTACATGTTTCCATTCACTGTTTTTTAATACAAGATGTATAATTTAATGACAACACATGCCACATAACTCCAAATCTACTTATAAATCATTGTAATATTACAATAGTTCTTATATTGATAAGGAAAAGCAGCATAATGCATTAAGAAGGCAGACTTCCTGGGTTGAAATTTTGGTTCTATCCGTTGTCAATCATGTGACTTTGTGCAAGTCATTGGGCTATTCTTTGCTTTGGTTCCTCAACTCTAAAAATGGGTGTGATCAAAAGAGTACCATGTCACATCATTATTATGAGGATTAAGTGAAGCAATAACAACAGAATACAGGCAAAGCAATTGGAGCTATTACTGGGTATGTAGTAATCCCTTAATAAGTGTTAGCTACAATTTTTATTATCAGTAGAAGTTATAGTGACTAATGTTAATATAAATCATTACTAATTTTTGAGCATTTAGTAAGTACCGAGCATGATAGACAATATGCTTATGTTTAACCCTAAAAATAATATGAAGCACATTCTATTATGAAGAAAGTAGATCCTTAAAAATATAAAATATGTTAGCTTATAAATACCATAATAGCTGAGAATTTGCCCCATGAAATACGGCAAAGTACAGCTGAAATCATTTTAATGACCCTTTCATGCCTCTAATGAGGATTACTGCTTCCAGGATGCTGATGAGAAAACAGTCACGACAATATGAAAGGACTTGCTAGCTAATCAGCTGTGTTCACTCATTAGCCCTACGAATGTTAAATCCTTGAAAGTTATTTATGTAAAGATATCTTTATTAAATTCAAAATATTCAACTTTTTCTTGACAACTCTGATGCTAGGTTCCTTGTTTTTCATTATATCTGGACTTTTCACAAAAGTCTCAAGAGCTTCTGTGCCAAATAACAATTATTATTACCTCACCTAGTAGTATACACATATTGCCTACACATGTAACATGGTATTTTTGTTATTCAATACATAATGGCTAACGATAAAGGTTTTTAATAATGGTTTGAAAACCATGATCAAATTTCATAAATTAAAATTTAATAACAGGCCGGAAGCTGTGGCTCATGTCTGTAATCCTAGCACTTTGGGAGGCTGAGGCAGGCGGACCACTTGACGTCAGGCGTTCAAGATCAGCCTGGCCAACACGGTGAAAACCCGTCTCTACTAAAAATACAAAAATTAGCCGAGCATGGTGGTGCATGCCTGTAGTCCCAGCTCTTGGGAGGCTGAGGCAGGAGAATGGCTTGAATCTGGGGGGCGGAGGTTGCAGTGAGCCAAGATCGCACCACTGCACTCCAGTCTGGGTAACAGATTGAGACTCAGCTTCAAAAAATAAAAAAAAAGTTAATAATGGTTTGCACATACTTTAGATGTGAAAAGCATTTCACATACTAAATTAGCGTAAGCCCATATAATTACCACAATCATGAGTGTTTTGTTTGAAAATTATGGATTTAAAATAAATATTACTGTATTTACTATGCTAAAAACAATGTTGTTACATCAATGTGGAAATGATAAACATTACATACACTTTAGAATGAGGATAGAATACACCTTGTGCGTCCACAAATTATCAAGCTCCCTAACGGTCCTTTACAAGTACAAATAAAGCCTTATTTTCATATCTTATACATATACCTTGTCAGAAAAAGTCTCATGAGTTGTATTCTTTGAAGAGTCTGACCTCTCATATGAGAGCCTTCATAAAATTAAGAGTTTCAGGTATCTAAGTTAAAGGTTTAGTTTTAAAATAGGCTTACTGTCCCCTTCTTCATCCTCGTTCCCCTCCCTGCACTTCTCTGATCCCCAGGGCCATTATGGCACAGCACCCAGTATTCGTGGCCCAAGGAAGCCATGCCAATTGCAGACACCAAAAATAGCACTGATTTTCTAGAGCTGTCCACAAGAGAAAAGGATGCCCAAAGGCAGCTAGAAGAAAGTGAGTCTTGCTGGAGGCCTTAGTCAGCTCTCTTCTCCTCTAATAAGAAATAAGCCCTGAGGAGAAAGAGTAAAGCATGCTTTTCACACCTTTTACACATTAATGACTTTCTCTCTTGCAAATGGGGGACAGAAAATCTATACCACACAGTCCATATTGTCCTTAACATTTTTCATGATTTGCAAAATGTCACCAGGTTTCTTCAATAATAGCCTTCTTCAAGAGGAACTCTCCATTATTACATGTGTCCACTTGGAAAAGATGAAAACAAACATAATAACACAATTTTAATGAATGGGAGAGGAGGCATGGTGGTTAATTTTTAAATCTCTAATTTTTTTTCTTTATGTTCCAGGGATGGATTTTACTCTAAAAGGGAATACTTAATGTCAATATATAGAGACATCAGTTTGTGATGCTGAACTGTCTGATTGAACTTCTTTCCATTTCCAGCATAAATATCCAAGTATAAACTGAACACTACTTGTTTGTAATGGGGAGAAAGATTTACAGAAAAAAAAAAAAAAAAAAAGGAGCATTGATTTATCTTCAGTGGAGAATGTTTAGCCAGCATGTAGTTTGTCTAGTCCAGCATTCAGGAGCTTCTGCCTGCCTGGTTTCTTGGGAATTCTTTTCATTCTTCTCCAGCTGGGGGAGGCGGCTCACATAGCTTGTACAGCCTAGAAAAGGCATGGAAAAGTTTGACAGTGACTTAGTGTATTACCATTACCTGAGGTGTCTTTATTGGTAGAACAAACATGTTGATGATAATTTCTTGTTTCATGAGTCATGATCAGATTGTCTATTTCACTAAAAAAAACATATGAATTAGCAAACTCCAAAAATTAGATTCTATGGTTTAGAAAACACCAGGGCCCCTTTGCACATCTTCATGGCTGTGGATGAAGCAATGCTGAAGGTTTTAAACCTGCTCCTTTTTCTCCAATGCCAACCACCCAGGCTGTTCACCACACTCGTGGTAAAACCTGCTCTCTGGATTCCAGGAAATGATATTATTATGAAAATTACCATCATGTCTATCATGATTTTCTTCTAGCAAGATAGCACCTATCTCATAGGGGTCTACTGATTTTCTGACTTGTTTTAGAAATGTGCTTCATTTTGTAGTATCCCCAGAGTGCAGGCAGTTGGCTGTGGATAGGCTGATATGGCAAGATTCCTGAGACCTAAATCTCAAAGGCACAATTGACTAGAGTTTCCTAAGGACAAATTGCCCAGCTCTGCCCAGGGCCCACTCACCTGACTATGGGCTCTCCAAGTGGGTCAAGGAATCCACGTAAACCATGGAGATGCCTGGAAATGCTTCCCATTGCAGCCCGGGTCTAGTTGTTCAAGACTACGCAGCATGCAAGGAAAACTCAGGGGATTTAACTAGGGTCACACAAGTTCTGGTGCTCCGCGTTCAGTGTTTAAATGATAACAGCAGAACCAAAGTAAAAGGGAACATAATACCTGCCTGATAGCCCTAGTGATCTCAAGGCCATGCGCATTACTTACAGCATATCCTGAGAGATTGATTGGCTGAACTAAAATGCTGGATTGGACTAGGCCTGTTCTCTAAACAGCACCCATGGTCACACTGGTCCCACTGCAGAGCTTGGACTAATGATGTCAAAATATAAGGTGCAGATTTCCACTTGGCATCTTTTCATAACAGCACTCCAAACCCAGGACTACCTGAGGTGATTCAATCCCTTTTACCGACTAAATTGAAAACAGCTTCAATGAATTGTTGACCAATTTAGCAAATTATAAATTTCCTCTCCCTTTGACATTTAATCCCATGCTAATTATAGATCAAAGGAGAAGAATCAGCAAGATTTAATACTGAGTTATAACTCCTGGTTAACAAAATGAGCTTTCCTAGTATGAGAACATGTAGAAGAAGCTATTGACTTTGGAGGTTTGCAAAATGTATTAAGTCTGGAAGGTGGTTTATGGTCTATATGTTATCTCCATGCAAGAGGCAAATACTGAAATAAAGACACCTCATATCAGAAAAAGCTTATTTCATCCTTCCCAGAGAAAAGAATACATTAAATTGACCCGATGTACTTCAAAGTTTCTTTTGCAGCCGAAGAATATGGTGTTACTTCAAATTGCATTCCCAGGTTTGGGATAATGAAATAAGAAGGTTCTTTTTCTTCTTAATTTCCTTCCTCTTATTTCCCTAACAGTGCTACCTAATGATTGAAAAGGCACAGTGGGCTTAGTCACGTAGGACAGGAATGGGAAGATGGGTGGCGAAAGTCCTGCCCCATGAGATCTGGGCTGAGCCATCACATTCCATTACCTTGCTCAGCACGTTTCCACGTAATGTAACTAATAGCACTGGGTAGACGAGTCTTTGAAATGTCTGCCTTGCAAATTGAAGAAAAGGCTACTCCCTGTGATCATCTAATGAAATAATAGCTCTGGGTATTGTGGAACTGGGCAGATTCAGCTTCTGTGAGGCTTCTTGGAAGTGACTCAGGGTTATTTGAGTTCAGACACATTTGTAATGGAAATTGCAGAGCTCTGGGAATTTAGAACAGGCAGATGAAGTTTCTAAGTGAAATGTAATAGGTAAGAGTTGGACTTTCATCCTGCACTGAAACATTTATTTTTTGGCAGATAAATTGTTGGGTAGTGTGAGGCCTTGGTCTGCCCATCATTTGGGGCCCTTTTGTATTCTCATTCCACCTATGCACATCAGTGGCCCTGCATGAAAACGGTTTGTTTTTGGCCTTCCTTCTTCTATTCTTGTTTGAGCTCAGGTAGCCCAAATTTCCTGCCCAAATGCAAATCTGCCAAGAGCAGAACTTTCCAACTTCATGCTATAGATGGTGCTTTTCACGTTTCTACATAGCAAAAATAAAAGCTATGTGAAAGGAGACCACAAAGTAAATGCCTCTTTCAAGGTTAAAGCATCAATCATACTCTGTCCCAAGGCAATTCTCCCCATCTCACAAATGAGAAAAGTGAGTCTCAGAGAGGAAAAAAATATCCCGACTAAATAAGGTCACATAGCCATTTATTTTTTATTTTTTCTTTCTTTTTATTTATTTCTTTTCTTTTTTTTTAAGAGACAAGGTCTCACTCTGTCTCCCAGGCTGGAGTGCACTGGTGCGACCATAGCTCACTGTAGCCTCAACCTCCAAGGCTCAAGCTATCTTTCTATCTCAGTCTCCTGAGTAGGTTGGACCACAGGCAGACAGCACCATGCCCAGCTATTTATTTATTTATTTTGAGACAGAGTCTCGCTCTGTTGCCCAGGCTGGAGTGCAGTGGCGCAATCTTGGCTCACTGCAACCTCTGCCTTCTGCCTTCTGGGTTCAGGAGATTCTATTAGCCTCCCAAGTAGCTGGGACTACAGTGCCTACCACCATGCCCGGCTAATTTTTTAATATTTTTAGTAGAGATGGGGTTTCACCATGTTAGCCAGGATGGTCTTGATCTCCTGACTTCATGATCCGCCTGCCTCGGCCTCCCAAAGTGCTGGGATTGCAGGCATGAGCCACCGCGCCCTGCCATTTTTTATTTTTTATTTTATGTAAAGACAGGGTCTTGCTTTGTTGTCCAGGCTGGTCTTGAACTCCCAGTCCCAAGCAATTCTCTCACCTCAGCCTCCCAAAGTGCAGGGACTACACATAGGAACCACCATGCTTGGCCCATTTTTTTCACTTTTAACCACTATAGAATGCCCCCTCCTGATTAAACAAGTAAAGAAAATCAGGTTTTCATAGCACAAGAGTTCCAGATTTTGTGACATAGCAGAGGACAAAGCCAGTGTGCTGGATGTGCAGTACGACATCTGGAATGTAATATTTGGTTCTTGAGGAATAGAAGCTTATTGCCCTGAAGAGTCAACGTATGAAGCTGGGAGGGGAAGGTCCTTTGTACTCCCTCCTCACATACCCATTCTATCCTATCACAATACCCATTCACTTGATTCTCTAAATTTATTTTGTCTTTGTATTCTACTAGGCTGTAAGCTCTTTGAGTGCATGAAGTGTTTCTCATCCATCTTAATACTCCAATGCCAAAAGCAGTTCTGGACACATCTTTTAGACACAGGTTGCTAAAGGGGAGGATATAAAATGCATTGGAGCCAAGGGTGTCCAAGAAACATCCCTCCCCAGAGCAGGCTTTACCTACCTCAGAATTATTAAACTCTGATACTCTGCTTTCTAGCTTTCTGATTTCCTAAATTATTATATTCACTCTCTCAGCAGTGTGACTATGGCTGATTGCTCCTTTCTGAATTCCAGAACAACCATCTCCAGTCCATGGCTCACTTTGGATTCTGTAGCCCTGCTTCCTCTGCTTTCTCTTCAGTGCTGACATCCCCTGAGGGTGTCCTGACCTTCTCTCATCTCTCTTAACCATTCATCGTCGTAACGAAATTGATTTCTGAGTCTTCACCTACCTCCTAAATATCGAAGACTCATAGGACTATAGCGCCACCTATTCTTTTCTCCTTGGCTTTCGACCAGTATATTCCACCGTCCACAATGTCCTCTCCAGGGATGACGACTGATGTTCAATCTCAGTACTACCAAGCTGAGCTCCCCATCTCCTCCCTGTGTGTGTGCTTCCCCTCAGTGCCCACTGTCTCAGGGGAAAGAACCATGAGCACCTCATTGTATAAGCCAAAGATTTGGTGGTCATCCTAGAATCTTCCTTTTCCCTAAACTCCTTTATCCAATTAGTGTCCAAAGACTATTGATTCTGTCTTCTAAATATCTCTCTAATCCATCCTCTCATCTTGGCTTCAATACTCCATAATCTTTTTTTAAGCTCCTGTTTCAGTCTTAGCTGTCCTCAGATGGGCCCTCCTGATGTTGCCAGAGATAAATTCTAAAATTCAAATCTTCCAGATAGGAAGATTGCTTATGCAAGCCTCCCTGTTGTCTTCAGGGTAAAAATCAAAACTCTTCTGAACTCCTAAAAGTCTCTTCTGATCTGGCCCTGGCCTACATCTCCAGCCTCACTTCACATTATACTTGAATCACATTCAACCACCAGTCATTGAGGTCTAGGCGTAGTTCTCAGAACATCATGTCTTCTGTGGTCCTTGGTACTATTGCATCCCCAGTATGGGACATGCATTACAATGCTGACAGGCCCAGGAGTATTCTGTGACCTCTTCTCTCTGTCGTTAGGCTGCATTATGTCCCTTCTCTGTGTTCTCATGACAATCTGTGCCTATTTCCATCACACACTGTGTACTATTTTCATTCTATTCCATTGTTGCTCTACTGCACTTCAACAACTGGTGGAGGACACTATGTCTTTTGTCCTCTAGCTCTTAGCAAGGGGCCTGGCACCTAAAGACACATAGCAGAAATTCAATATATGTGCTCTGAGTAAATGTTTTTAAAAGTCAAGTGGTTGGTGACAGAAAAACTCTGATAGGGATGGGTTGAGGATTTGAATCAAATAGTATCTCAGACAGAGATAGCAAACTTCAGCTCCATTAAGATGTTTCCAGAAACATTATCCCAGCTTTGCCCATGGATGGCCTCACTGTGATTGCCAAATGTGTTCTTCAACTCACTGTCTTTGGGGCTGGAGTCCAGGTTCTCAGTTGGGAGCGATCCCAGCCCCTCTGTGCTCCTTGGCATTCTCTCTGCACCCTCCACAGGGTGATTCCTGCTTTCTACCTTTCCTTGTAATCATGCCTTCTTCGCTTCGTCTTTTTAACTGAAAACTCTGTGAGGGCCAGGGCTACTTCTAATTCAGGTTTATACTCTCCCTGGGGCATAGCAGAGTGCTTTGCATTTCTGAGGTCCTCAATAAATATTTGCAGAATGAATGAAAGAATAAATAAAATAAATTTTAAAAATTACTCTTGCTTTCTCTCTCAGGCCTATTACTCCCTTGTAGACAATGTCAACGTTATGGCTGGCTCATTTTAATGAGTTTCGTTTCAAGCATTTTCAACATAACCCAATATGGTTTCTTTTCTTGCGTTCAGCCTGCATATTGGTTTATTGATCAGGGTGCTGAAGTCTGATCCTCACCTCACGGTTTATTAGTGTTTATAGGTCTAGCTAAGAACACCTTGCTGAGCCATGATCTTGTTTTCTTATTGGAATTTTAACACTTCACTGGGTCTATTATCCAAACGTACCATGCCTCCCAAGGTGCTGGATGGAGAATGGGTATGTAAAAATAATCCTTTAGCAATAGAAAGCCTTAGATTCTAACCTAATCAACTGTGAAAGGCAACATTAACAAAACTTGAGGATGAAATAGAGTTAGGAGTCAGCACTAAAAATAAATGCAATTAGAACAGGAGTGCTCCATCCATTTTCAGGGGGAAAATATGTTTTCCCTTTGAAAGCCCTTTCACTACCCACATGGTTTTTCAGAATGAAATATTACTTCATAAATGCTGCAGCCATCATTCCCACTCTGGTAACTGCTCTGTAAAGAGAAATAGTGTTTTGTCTGTGGCAGCGTTTGGAAGAGCCTATTTTTTGTTAAAATACAAATGTATAAAAGCAATCAAATGTAAAAGAAATTATTTAGCTTTTCCCCACTTCAAGACGGATGGTTGCCTACTCTCATCACCAGGGAAATCAAAACCAGAGCATTTCCCTGATGATTATTATTTATGTTCATTTATTTTAAAGTCAATGGGAGTCCTTTCTTATTATGCTGTGTGAACTGTAAATATTTGAGATAACAAACAAAAATCTCATTTATTCATTTCTTCATTCAGACATTCTTGAAATCTGTTCAGATATTTGATGTTTACTATGATAAGTAATAAATAAAATCCAAAAAAAAAATTCTCTACCTCCAGAAAACTCACATTCAGGTTGGGTAAAGGAACATGTGACAATATATTGCAACAAAATATGATAAATTTTATCATAGGTCAATATGAAAGATGCTAAGGGAGTACAGAGAGGAAGGAAACTCAAGCAAGACTCCAAGGGGAAATGACATCTAAGCTAGGTTTTGCAGTGAAATAGGAGTTTTCCATACAAACACATATAGGAAAGGCAATCATGCTAGAAGGAACGGCATGTACAGTCACAGAAGTATAAATGAAAATGTCATCTCGGTTGTTTGGCACGCCTGGATTTCAAATTTTAGCAGTGCCTGTGTGAGCTTTTCTTTTTGAATTCATGATAGTACTTGCAAAATAGAATAATATCCATTTATTTCTGAGAGCATTTATGTGTAATCACACTTAGCCATTGGGTGTTTCAAGGGCAATCTCCGTAATTACAATCAGTACGACACGGGGCATATCCCAGATCAGTTGCATTAGCAGAGGGACGTTGCCGGGAAAATGCTGGCAAATCTGTCGGGCAAGGGCACAGCAGGGGAGGCACTTACCTTGGTGCAGACTGTGGGGTCCGGTCTCTGACTCCCAAATTCTTCGCTGTGTTCTGAACTCTTGCTCCCTGAAAGTCAGGAAAATCATTTTTATCCCTACAATGTGTTAGTAATCATTTAACACACCATTAACATCTATGTGTAGGATACTTATTCCAACAATGTCTTTAACTTCAAGGGAGATTAGCCAAGAGAAAGACAGATATCGCCGTCAGAGTATTTTCAACATTAATGCTTTTAATAAAAATGTGCTGTTATGTTGCTTTGTCTTTATTCCTAGAAGCAATCAATACTTCAGATGTTGAAAACAGGCCAGGCACAGTGGCTCATGCCTGTAATTCCAGCACTTTGAGGGGCCAAGGTGGAAGGATTACTAAAGCCTGGGAATTCAAGACCATCCTGGGAAACACAGTGAGACTGTCTCTAAAAAAATACAAAAATTAGCCAGGCATGGCTACTCGATTGTGGTCCCAGCTACTTGAAAGGCTAAAGTGGGAGGATTGCTTGAGCCTAGGAGGTTGAGGCTACAGTGAGCTATATTTGTGCCACTGTACTCCAGCCTGCGAGACAGAGTGAGAGACCCTGTCTCAAAAAAAAAAAAAAAAAAAAGAAAAAAAAGAAAAAGAAAATAAATAAAAATTTTAAAAAGATGTTGAAAATAGTAAATGAGCAGACTATAAATACCTGCTCTGTGTTACCACTTTTCTGGAACAGAAATCACAGTTTTATCACACCTGTTTTTTTTCTTACCTGAATCATTAACTATTTTAAGTTTACTAGTACATAGCAAAAAAATATTTTCTTAACTACTTCTGAAGCAATTCCTGGACAAGCCATGTCCATGCAGATTTATGAAATCTAGTAATTCTGCCTCAGAGTTTATAATACAATCTACTTTGGCAATGAAAAAGTCTTCACAGTCTGCCAAGTTCAAGAATGAAGTTATAATCACTTTAGTTCCTCATGAAAATTAATTACTACATAGGACCAAATACCAGAGTTTGGGGTTTGGAACAGGTTAAGGAGAGTTGTCCAAAAACTCTGAAACTCTCTCTCCAGCTACTACATTCTGAACTAAGGAAAGAAACAAGATAAAAAGAAGGAAAAAAATAACATATTCTCTCAAAAAGGACGTAAAATAGGAAAACAAATAGGGAAGGGAGTGTGGCATCAAAAGGAAGGTGGGAAGAAATTTAGGAATTGCAATTATGGACTTAAGAAAAACTATTTTGGCTAATCCAAAAGCAGTTATCTCAACTGACTGTTCACAGACAGTTGCAGATCAATTGAACTCATTGTTCTGCTCTTTCCCCACTTTTCACCATTGCACTTGAGCAGTCTTTAAAAACAAAAACAAAGAAACAAACAAAGAAAACTGTTTATTTTGAGTAATTTTACACTTAGAGAAAAATACAGACAGAACTGAGACTTTACATACTCCATGTGGCTTCCCCTAATGTTAACTCTTCACTTAGCCACAGTATGATTATTAAAACCAAGAATTAACATTGGTACAATCTTACTAAACTGCACATCTTATTCAAATTTCTTCATTTTCTCCCACTAAGGTATCTTTTCTGTTCTAAGATCCAACCTAGGATCCCACATTGCTTTTTGCTTACATGTCTCCTTATTCCCCTCCAATCTCTGCCAGTTCCTTAGGTTCTTCCTGCCTTTCATGACCTTAACACTCTTGATAAGTATTGGTCATTACTTTGCAAAATGTCTCAGTTTGGGTGTGTCTGATATTTGCTCACGATTAGAAACAGGAAATGCACTTGGGGCAACAAAATCACAGAAGTGATGTCATGCCCTTCTCAGTGCATCCTATCAAGGGATACAGGATGTTGTCATATCTTATCACTGCTAACATTAACTTTGATCACTTTGGCGTCTGCCAGATTTTGCCACTGTAAAGTTACTCATTGCTTTTTTTTTCTGTAGTTAATAAATGTGTTTGGGGATATACTATGAGACTATGCAATATCCTGTTTCTCTTCAAACTTTCACTCACTGATTTTAGCCTCCGTTGCTGTATCTTGTCTATAACAATAATATTGTTTTGTTATGGACTGGAATTCTGTTACAAAGAGTAATCTTTTCTCTCTAAATTATTTATTTATTCAAGTATGTATTTAAATCAGTGTGGACTCATAATTATTTTATTCCATGAGATATAATCCAATACTTATTATTGTTATTTTTTTTGCTAAAATTGTTTCAGTTTTGGCCACTGGGAGCTCTTTCTGGTTGTTTCTTGTGCCTTTTTAATATGCTGCCATCATTGTTTAGTACTCCTTTATTTTCTGGCACCTCAAGATGTTCCAGACTTGTCTTTCTTGTCTCATCTGGTAATTTACCATTTCTCCGAGGGGCCCTGGCTATTTTTATTGGGGAATGGTATTTAGAAGCCAAGATTTGGACACTGAGTGAGCTCTTTACTACTGGGAGGATAATTGCAACTAGGCCTTTCCAGCAGGCAGGGCTAATTTACATATACAAACATACTCATACATCTATATTCATTTCTACATCTATCCATATTTGTATGTGTCTGTGTGTGTATTTATCAGTTCATACTGATACATGTGATTTCAATCCAATAGCATAGGGTTCATTCCACATTCCAGTCTTCTTCCTTTCCTTATTTGTAACTTTTTTCTCAGACAGTGAGAAATCAGCTTCTCATTATTTACAATAATTTATTTGTTCATTCTTAGTAACACATAAATTAGTTTTAGAATTCCTAAATCATACCCTGTGAAAAACAGATTTACTAACTAGTGTGCAGTATCTGTGTACAATCCTTTTTATCTATAGCCTTATAGTATTTCCATTAAGAAAAATGTTTGCTTTCTTAAAAGGTTTCAAATAAAACTGATGCTTGTCATGGTGAAGACATCAGTTGGCACATTTCACTTTAAATTCATCTATATTGTTCATAAACTCAACATTCCAGCTACTTGTGTTTTTACACTCTGGCTTATATTGCTCCCTCTACTTAAACACTCTTCCTGCCCCCTTCCTGTGCTGTCTGCATCATATTTATCTCCCAAGTTCCAAATCAAATATCATCTTAGTTAATAACTGATTGGTCACTCACCATATCAGGCACTGTTTTAAGTGCATTAAGTATATTTACTTATTTAATCCTCACAACAACACTATGAAACAAGTACTATTATTATCCTTGTTTTAATACTGATGAAACTAAGTACCAAAGAGGCTAAGAATATTCCCCTGAATCACCCAGACAGTCAACACTGGAGTTGGAATTCAAATTGTGCTGCTTGGCTCACGAGTCTGTTCTCTTTTATTCACAATAGCAAAGTCATGGAACCAACCTAAGTGCCCATCAACAGTGGGTTGGATAAAAAACGTGGTACATATACACCATGGAATACTATATGCCATGAAAAGCATAAAATCATGTTATTTGTAGCAGGCTGAATGCAGCTGGAGGCCATTATCCTAAGTGGATTAACACTTAAATAGAAAATCAAATACTGCATGTTCTCTCTTTTAAGTGGGGACGATACAATGAGTATACATAGACGTAAAGATGGAAACGACAGACACTGTGGACTCCAAATGGGGAGAGGAAGGAAGGGGGACAGGATTAAAAAATTACCTATTGGGTATAATGTTTACTGTTGGGGTGATGGGTTCAATAGAAGTCCAAATCCCAGCATTATGCAACGTAACCATGTAACAAACCTGCACATGTACCCCTTAAATCTAAAACAAAACAAAAACTTACTCTGTGCTCTTAGTCCCTATCATAAATTCATCTTCTGCATGAAGCCCTTCTCCAGCTATCCTAGTTAGAATGAAATCATTGAACAAACATCTTTTGGCATTTACTTTGTACTAGGTACTATTTTGGGAAACTGTGATATAAAAATGAGTAAGATTTATCCCAGCCAGGGAGGAGCTCAGTCTACTCATTTGCTTCCTGTTCTGAGTCTTGATATGCTGAGGTTAGTTACCCTACAGAGACTTGCTTGCCTGTGCCCGTGACATGGTGATTTTCCTATGCATGTGTCCACCGTGAGATTAGGCAAGGACCACATCGACTTCATGTCTTTGTTCTTAGTGCCCAGTGTGATGCTTTGATACTGAAGGTAAGGGGTCAGGATACTTTGAAATCCCAGTTTTTATTAAAAAGGTTAAGAAGACATTTGTGCCCGGGCGCGGTGGCTCATGCCTGCAATCCCAGCACTTTGGGAGGCCGAGATGGGCGGATCATGAGGTCAGGAGATCGAGACCATCCTGGCAAACACGGTGAAACCCTGTCTCTACTAAAAAATACAAAAAGCTAGCCAGGCGAGGTGGCGGACGCCTGTAGTCCCAGCTACTCAGGAGGCTGAGGCAGGAGAATGGCGTGAACCCACGAGGCGGAGCTTGCAGTGAGCTGAGATCCGGCCACTGCACTCCAGCCTGGGCGATAGAGCAAGACTCTGTCTCAAAAAAAAAAAAAAAAAAAGACATTTGTTCTAGGCTGCCATCAAAGAGCACTAGAAATATATAATTTATGGCATAGAAAAATTTAAATTTATAATGTAAATGACAGTTTCTACTGCAAGCCTTTTATTAATCAAATCAGCTAGTTACATAAAGTGATGCCTAAGGTTGTTATAATCATTAGTAAAACAACGTGAAAGACATAGTACCCTTCTCTTCTGTCTTTTATCTTTCCTTCAAACTCATGCAGTGAGTTAAAATAACAACTCTATGAAAAGTATATACCCAAAATCTGTAGAGGAAAACAATACTGAGATTGTAAATAAGAACAATAAATCATGCCAAAAAGCTTCTTATTCTCAAAAAAACTAAAAAATCTTAGTTTTTTCATTATATTATTCATTTATATATTGTAAAACTGTAATAGATACTAAATATTATTCTTTAACATATCATAATACAAATTTGATAATGCAATAATGCAAATACTTCAATATATACTGAAATGACAAGTATCTAACCACTTGGTCTCTAAGCAGCTGAGTCTAAATGGCTAAGTAATTGTCCCTGAAGTTGAAAGGTAAAAAGGAGAGAAAATCCAAGCTGGACCTTTCATTCAGACTTGTATTCTAACTGCTCAAATCATAAGTAGGTAAGAGTTGGCTTGTGGATTGGACCTCAGCCACAAATCTCACTGTCTGCTACTGCTGAACACTGGAAGGAGAATCGGCGACAGGAGGACTTTTGAAGAAATCTCTGGGGTCACCACTCTGCCCAGTTTCCTTAAAAGAGGGTCCCAGGCTCTATGATCTTTCACAAAGAAGTTAAACCTTATTTCTTTGCCTCTCATAGCCATTGGGATGTCACAACTTGGGGCAGAGGAACAAATAACAATGGAAGAAAGCTACCTACTCCAAATGTATTCAGTTTTTAAAAAAATTCAGGGGAAGAACAAGTGATATATACTGACAAAATAGTGAGGTTTATATATCAACAGGAATTTTATAAGGAATCCCATGACTTTTAAAATTATACTATACTTACCTACAACAATATAATAATACTATATAAATATAATTTACATTGCATTTTAAAGAGCTTTACACCAGTTAAGTGAGTCATTGGGGCCTACATAATATCAATATTACTTTATCTCTATTTTCTCTATTTCCATTTTTAGTTTTAAAAAGTGAAAGTATTTGATATGATTATGACTATTCAAATCTATAAGGTAGAAATGGATATGTCATCAACTCATAACTACCTCCTTAGTGGAATATTCTAAAAGAAAGTAAATTCCAGTTTCTTTTGCTTGTCACAAGCTATAATTTTGAGATGGCCCTTCCCAAGTCTTCCCACAAACCTACTCTAATAAGCAACATGATCAAACAGAAAGGTGATTAATTTCTTTCTGTATTTCTTAGCAACTTAAATCTCAACTGTGGTATGAATAATCATAAGTTTACCTGGATCTACTTTTTGAAACATAATTTGTATATATATCCAAAAAGCCTTTTCTAAACCTTCTGGCAAATCACATCTGTGTTTACCCTTTCCAGCTGGCCCACAGTACGTCACATGCTTCTTGGTTCTAACCTTTACTTAACAAATCTCTCTTGGACCTTCTAAGATCTTGGTTTTCAATCGTCAGCTCCTGAGCCCTAAGCAGAAGTACCAACGTATATGTTCTCCCTGTGCCTGATCTCTGCATTGAAGACACCAGCTTGATGTTGGCCTCTTCAGTTGATTTTTTCATGGGCTTTGTTGGCATTCTGCAATACAGTCTTGGGAGCAAGCCCAGAGGGATTTATATGTCTGCCTGAGAGTTAGACACTAAGCTTCCAATAAACAAAGTAGTCATAATTACAAAGCATATCTTAAAAACTAAATCACTCACTGTCACTGGGCAACTCAAACCAAGTCAGCAAGTGGAGAAATTTGTTAAATCAATTTCTTGTGGTTGCTCAAAGAAAATGTGGTAGAATAACATATAAAATTTGTGTCTTTTGATTTGTCTTTCTGTAGGTTAAGTATCTTTTCTGCTACATTAAGCACATTTTCATAATTAGTAAATTGGAGCTTAGTGCATTTTTAAAAATAACTTTAAGAGTTAAAAGCTAAACCACCACACTTAGAATACTATTGGGCTACTGTATAGAATAAAGTTCATTCTATTTATAAGAGAGTATATTCTCGCCTGTAAGTACTCCAATGACCCGAAGACAGTCCAAAGACTGCTATTTATCCCCTAAAGGAAAATTCGAGGTAAGTGCTTTATCCTTGGATTAATGTACACGCTGAGTATGGCATGAAAGTTCCTTGGCAGTCACCAGGAGCCAGCAGGACCCTCAATTCTTTCCTCTTCTTCCTTGCCCCTGTCCCTCTCCACCTCAAGCTTTACCACTAACAATTGCCAAAAAATGCCATATGTCCTTTTACTTGTTCCTTACATAAACGCCAAATTCACTGCTACTTTATTCCACTTAGTCACGTCCCTTTCTGCCTGCAGATTACTGCATAGACATCCCTTTTTCCAGAGTTCTCTAAGATTCTTGCAGAACCTCAGACTGGTGCCTGCGGCATCTTCTCCCTGGGAGCATTTCTCATTCATGAGTTACCTCTGAGCCTAGTAAACTGTACATCACATCCAGGCACCTGTCAGACCCCTGATAAATGAACAAAGGAATCTTCAAGTCCAGGGCCTACAAAACAACTCTTCTCAAGTCTCCATGAGACCTACCTGCTTCCGCATCACATCTGTAGCCTGCATGATGTAGCGAGGTGGCAGTCCGTGGCTTCTGGCCAAAATGATGGCTTGCTCCAGCGTCACGCTCAGGGTGCACCTGGGGGCCAAGGCAAGGGCAAGTCAGACCCCATGGTTCCTGATACACCCTTTGAGATGATGTGGATTACTCATTGCAAAATCAGAAAGCACCAGCCAAAATAAAAGTGGCTAGACAATGAACCGCTGATTTTTCTACATAGAACACCAGTTTAAAAATAGATTATAAAGGTACGCTACTGGGGTCAGAAATTAAGTATTTAAATTTAAAACAAACCCATGATGAACTATGTTTATAAGAGCACTTACCTACAGAAAATTAAATAACCAGAATTAGAACAAGTTTTATTACTATTATTCTTTAATGATATTTCATGTAATTTAGAAGAAATGACTAAAGAATATTTATCACTAACTTATATTGATAATTAATAGATTTATAGTGATTTATGCACAAATATTGTAGAAGAATAAACAGCAAAATTACTATTTGAGGTCAGAATTGATTTTCTTAAATGTGTTTATTGGACCCAATCTAAAAGTGCATTTGTAAAAGTTCCAAAAGGAACTCGTAACTAGTTATATAGAAATGTGATACCCAGAGTAGCCCTGAGAGAAGTGTTCTAACCAGCCTTTAGTGACTGGTGAGTCTTTGTTCTTTTCCTTCTCTCTCTCTCTCTCTTTTTTTTTTTTTTTATTTGAGACGGAGTCTCGCTCTGTCACCAGGCTGGAGTGCAGTGGCGCACTCTCAGCTCACTGCAACCTCTGCCTCCAAGGTTCAAGCGATTCTCCTGCCTCAGTCTCCCAACAAGCTGGGATTACAGGTGCACACCACCGCACCCAGCTAATTTTGTGTTTTTGGTAGATACGGGGTTTCACCATGTTGGCCAGGATGGACTCCCAAAGTGCTGGGATTACAGGCGTGAACCACTGTGCCTAGCTGTTCTTTTCCTTCTCTTTTTTTTTTTTTTTTTTTTTTGAGACGGAGTCTCGCTCTGCCGCCCAGGCTGGAGTGCAGTGGCCGGATCTCAGCTCACTGCAAGCTCCGCCTCCCGGGTTCACGCCATTCTCCTGCCTCCGCCTCCCGAGTAGCTGGGACTACAGGCGCCCGCCACCTCGCCCGGCTAGGTTTTTTTTTTTGTATTTTTTAGTAGAGACGGGGTTTCACCATGTTAACCAGGATGGTCTCGATCTCCTGACCTCGTGATCCGCCCGTCTCGGCCTCCCAAAGTGCTGGGATTACAGGCGTGAGCCACCGCGCCCGGCCTTTTGGGCATTATTTTATGTCCTTCCACATTGATCTCTACAGTACCCCTTAAAGCCTATGTTTATTTGTTAACATTTTCAGGTGCTGGTCTCTGAATTGTTCTTTTAAGAGTATCTTTTGCATGCATTTCATAAAAATTGTCAATTTTAGATGCTTCTTCTAAAATTGTATTAATGGATTTTGTTTTACTTGTGTTTTTTTTTAACATATTCATATTTTAATTAGCCTTTTCCTTATTTTTGCATTTACCTCCCTGTAGTTTGTCATTTTATTTGTGTATTTTCCTAGATCTGTCTAGTATTTTTCCCTGCAAATAAAAGTAAGTTCTACAGTGCAATTGTTTCTATGGGAGAAATATCTAACTCATTGGTTATGAGGCTGCAACACGGAAGTTCTTGGTTATGAGGCTCTAACACAGAAGTCCAATGCATTTGGTAGGTTTTGACACTGATAATTAAGAAAAAGAGGAGACAGGGATTTAAAACATTACTGTTGTAATATTAGAACCTCACAAAGTGCAACTGTGTGATTACACATAACTGCATTCTAAGGAGAAATATGTAAGTTCCATTGGCTGTTAAATGACTCAAGAGGCAGCTTTCTTATTATCATTGCAGAGAATTCATTATTATTATTAACACATGTCCAGGTGGGCTAAAGTTTCATTATTAAGTTCTAGTTGTACATGATGTTCACAAACTTTCAGTGTGTGAGACTGATAACAATGCATATTGTTTTACATGTACACGTGAGCTGCAGAACAGTCTATGCCAATGAAGGCCAAGCAGTATAACTAATAGTTCATGTTTAAAAAATCAGTTTTCTGCCGGGCACAGTGGCTCATGCCTGTAATCACAGCACTTTGGAAGGCTGAGGCAGGTGGATCACGAGGTCAGAAGATTGAGATCATCATGGCTAACATGGTGAAACCCCGTGTCTACTAAAAATACAAAAAATTAGCTGGGCGTGGTGGCGGGTGCCTGTAGTCCCCGCTACTCAGGAGGCTAAGGCAGGAGAATGGCATGAACCCGGGAGGCGGAGCTTGCAGTGAGCTGAGATGGCGCCACTGCACTCCAGCCTGGGCGACAGAGCGAGACTCCATCTCAAAACAAAAGAAAAAAAAAAATTAGTTTTCTACAAAGCATTTAATTGCCAGTTCACTCAACAGAGCGTAACCTTTTTCTCCTCCTTAAGGTCTCCTCCACTCCAATTTTAAATGTTTATTGATCCTAACATTTTAATCAATAATGCTCATTACACCAGCTGAAGGAAGCCAAGGGGAGGAAAAAAAATCTTTATCTTTTTCTAGTCATGCTGAAATATGTCTGTGCTTTACTGATAAAGTACAGTTTGCTCTATTTCTCGTGTACTCACTTATAAACAAGACCTACACACTGTGAAGGGTTTTTAATAGACAGTCAACGATTATTATTCATTTTCTTAATCCTTTTACACTGATTTCTTTCTCCCTACCTCAAGTTGTAGTAAGCAGCAGTACAGCAGCAAATTACCCGCCAGAGATTTTAAAAGATTTTACTGCAATCAGGAAGTGAATGTGCCCAGGAACATGCTCTCTGAAAGGACACCTCAAAGTGTGACTTGCAATCAATCACATATCACCTAAGAGAAAAATCTACCTTCAAATGGATATGTATATTCTCTTTCCCCAGCATTTCAAAAACAGAGGGTTGCACCTCTATTTGTCTTTTCGTGCTAACCATTATGTATCTTCCAATTAGGCCCCAAAATTAATTTGAAATGTTAAAAAAGTAAAAAGTGTTAAAAAGAGGCAGTCACATAAAGGTGGGAAATATTGCCTGTAATTTGAATCCTGGTTGATGGGTCCAATCAAGGCCTTGTATTTCCACTCACAGCATCACAGAATTCCATTTTCCTAAACTAAGCATGCAAAAGAAAGCCTCTCAGGAAGGCCGCCACTTTTCTGTCAGTATACCATTATTTGCCCAGTAGCTTTTCATCTTCTCCCAACTGTCTCAATTTGAATGTCAAGTGGAAAAAATCAGCATCTGCAAGAAACATTCCAATGTTGGCATTCTCTGATGGACTCCAGGTCCAGAAGGTGGCACACCATTTTTCAGTGGTACATAAATATATACTCAGAGGCAGGTTTACAAGAGCTCATTTGATTTTATAGGCACTTTCTAATGACCAGAGAGACTGATATGCTAGCCCTGAGCAAGAGAAAGAAAGGAGCATATTAAAGGCCAGGAACCCTCATTCAATACGAGGTTTCTCTTTTTTTGGAGATAGGGTCTCACTCCGTTGCCCAGGCTGGAATGCAGTGGCGCCATCTCAGCTCACTGCAGTTTCAACTTCCTGGGCTCGGGTGATCCTCCCTCCTCAGCCTTCCAAGTAGCTGGGACTACAGGAATATACCATCACATCCAGTCAACTTTTGTATTTTTTGTGGAGATGGGTTTTCACTGTTTTGCCCAGATTTGTCTTGAACTCCTTGTCTCAAGTGATTCACCTGCTTCAGCCTCCCAAAGTACTGGAATTACAGGTGTGAGCCACCATGCCCAGCCCAATACGGGGTTTCTTACCTGATGCCCCAATCTTCTTTCTAACATGAACTCTGTTTTACAATTAAACTAAAATTTGAATAAATCTATATTTTTACCCCACCTGGAAAATATAGGTCTTCAATTTTTCAGCTCCTTCTACTACAACATCACTTTAAAAATATTCACACAGTTCTTTCCCTAGAAGCCGCAAAATAATGAAATAAATGCCACAGAGTAGTATTTGTCCTTCATAAAAAGGCAGTTGTAACATAGGCACTGAAAACAGTTTGTCCATAATTTTAGTAAAAAGACATTCCAAGTAATGGCTCTGCTTAGAGTATACATGTGAGGAAGCACATTTGATAGGGTAGCAAAGTTACATAGAAATGTTTAATTTCCCCATAGGAAGTAAAAGGAAAAGGTCAATATATCTGTGCTTATAATTAATAAATCTCCTTGACATATTTTGAACTGAGAACAGATCCCAAACCACTCAGTTATTGAGCACAGTTTTAATATGATAAATGTAACCTACAGTTAATGGGTTCCATTTAATTTGAAGGACACTTTGATTCAGCAATGCTAAGGAAGATGTATTAAAATGTATTTTATTGCATGATTCTTTCTTTCATTTATTAGTTTGCCAAACATTTTTTGACTGTCTACTTTGTACCTACAAATACCATAAGTTGCTGGCAGGAGTGGATTTACTGTGGAGCTACAAAAGCTTGGGTTTCAAGGCCCCTTACTTGTACGAATCCCTTTCCAGGTTCTGCGAGGGGCGTTAGCACTGTGTTCACATAGTCACATACCTTTACAAATGTGCAAAAGCAAAATGTTTTAACTGCAAATGACATAGCTGCTGTCTTCTTTACACCCCAGCTTCCTTCTGTAATGTTGGCTAGTGTTCAATTGGCTGTGGTTACTTTTGAAACCGAGCTGAAGAAAGTTGAGTTGGGCACTTTGGGAGGCCGAGACGGGTGGATCACGAGGTCAGGAGATCGAGATCATCCTGGCTAACACGGTGAAACCCCGTCTCTACTAAAAAATACAAAAAAACTAGCCGGGCGAGGTGGCGGGCGTCTGTAGTCCCAGCTACTCGGGAGGCTGAGGCAGGAGAATGGCGTAAACTGGGAAGGTGGAGCTTGCAGTGAGCCGAGATCCGGCCACTGCACTCCAGCCTGGGCGGCAGAAAAAAAAAAAAAAAAAAGAAAGTTGAGTTGGGATGCATTCAGGCTAGATTTGCTGGGACCTATTTATTGGACAATA